TTATAAGAGATTATATGTTCCTATGGTATAATAAATATATACACTATGGGAGGATTCCTTTGTCTCATTCTGAGAGATTGATATTTCAACTTTTCCTGGAGAAGAGCCTGAGTGGGAATATTAAATTGCTCTTTGTCCGCAAGAGGGTCGAGGGATGAGGTGAGAGGCTAATCCAGAAGGTGGTTGGATTCATAAGAATCTATATACACCCAGATACCTGCACGATTTGTTTCACCTGTGGTCACTTACAGTATTATTTGGAAACACCGTTTACTGTTTTGTTCACCTTCAACATTCTATTTTTGGACTTTGAGTTTTGCGTGTATCATTATTATGGTTATTTTTTCACTTCACAATATGCACGTGTGATTTAATTATATGTATGTGTATTCTTTTATGCACATACGTATAGATACAGTTTTTGTGTTTTTCATCTTTTTGGTATTTTTGATTATCAGTAAGCACGTATAGATTTATATTGTCATTATTATTGTCACAATTTTGATTTGAGATGTTGGATTCCACATTCACATAAATTAGTTTGAATGTAGCGCAGCATTGTTTATGGTTTAAATGTATGCACACTGCTCTGGATGGCTGTGCTCAGCCATCCAGAGCAGTGTGCCCAAACTAACAGGGAGGAAGGCTGTTAGTAAACAATGCAGCCCTTCTTCCTTGTCGGTGATTGTCGATGCGGATAGGGCGGTCGTGCGCCTTGCTCGCGCCCCCTACCTGGAAATGCAGAATCACGTATATATACGTGATCCTGTGCACAGGGGCTGCCCTGCAGCAGTAAATCTACTGTGGGCGGTCCTAAACTGGTTAAAAGATGCATTTAACTGCATCTGGTGTGAACAAGCCCAAAATATTGAAAATGACTTCACATAAGGGCTGGTTCACACCATAGAAATGCAATCTGGATGCATTTCGATGTGTGCGTTTTTATGTGTTTTTGCTGCATTCCGGTGCATTTTTTATGTGTTCCAAATGCTTTTTTTCCCCCTTCCTTTTTTTGGGGAACTGTGTGGTTGAGTGCGTTTTTGATGTGTTCTGGTGCATTGTTAATTTTACCATGTTTCAGTACAGTTCTGTGCAGGAAAAATGCAGCATGTTCTTTTTTTTTGGAACCAAACTGCAAGCACTGGTGTGAACCATGCCATTTAGTCACTGGTCACACTGCTGCGATTTAAAATCGCGCAATTTATGTGCAATTTCAGCACGATTTCAGGAGCGATTTCTGATTGCAATTTGCAGTGAGATTTCCATTATATTCTATGTATATTTGCATATGTTAAGACACTGACATTCACTAGATGCAATTTCAGGTGCAATTTCAATTTGCAAATCGCATCGGTATGACCGGGGACTTAATCACTGAATGCACTGCTGTGATTTTAAAAATGCGTGATTTGTGTGCAATTTCAGAAGACTATTTCTACTTGTGAAGATTTTCATTGATTTATTGCAATTTTCAGAGTGATTTCTATTATTTTCTATGTAAGTGAAATCGCAACACAACTGCAAGAAAATGTAATGCAAGAACTACTTTAGAAATGAGCTGCAGCAATTCGCACGTTAAGACACTGACACTCACATTCATTATATGTGATTTCAGGTGCAATTTCAATTCACAAATCGCACCAGTATGACGGGGCACTTAGCCACCATTTACACTGCTGCAATTTAAAATCAAGCTATTTGCGTGCAATTTCAGGTACAATTTCTGAAGACTTTATTGCTACTTAAGACACTGACATTCACATTCATTAGATGCAATGTCAGGTGTGATTTCAATTCGTAAAATGCACCTGGAATCATACCAGTATGACTGGGCACTTTATCCCTGGTCACACTGGGTGCGACTTGGCATATGATTTGCATGCTATACAACTTGCAAATCACATGGCAAGTGGGATTGCCACCTCATCATTTAAACCCAAGGCTAGTTTGCCTTTGATCTGTTTCTGCAGTGCGTTTTGTATTTTTGCACATGCGTTTGTTTTCTTGTTGCTAGGCAGATTTAAAACACATCAAAAACGCTGCAAAAACGCACTACATGCTTTTCTGCAGCATTTCCATTGAACACTATAGAACCAAAAATGCAACTTTTTGTGTTTAAAAAAGTACCTGACCCTTTCCAAAAAAATGCATTGGGTGAAAACGCAGAGATATGAACATGTCCCATAGGAATTCATGTTAAATGGATTAAAATGCGTTTCTGCAAAATGCTGTGGAATCCGCTTAGGTGTGAACTTAGGGTAAGGTGGTCATAAAACTCACTTGGTGCCCTATCTGCATTAAATTAGCCCCAGAACCTGTGTAATTAATATGTGTTCAGGTTTAAAGGGATGAGGTGGCAACCCTAATGGGTTTTTTGGTGCGATTTGCATAGACATCTGTGTCAGATGGCTTGAAAAATCGCACCTCAAATCGGCATCTCAACCGACTTTGAAATCGTGCAACTTCACTGCAAGTTGCACGATTTCAAAGGACGGGATCCGTGTGCGACTAGGGTGTTAGCCTACTTTCTGTGCATTTTGGATACAGAAAAAATACCGCACTGGGATGCATGTAGTGTGAACCAGCCATTACATATATGGGATTGTAGTGACTGGATTTAGAATTGTGTATCCTTATTTTTCTAGTTAGTTTATAAAGAAGTTTTGTTTCCAGAATAAATCATAATATAAACAAAAGAGCAGTATTTTATGTAGTATAACTCTCCTCCTCCCACATGGATGGTGCTTGTAGTCCAGTGCTCCTCCTCCTCCATCTCTCCATGGATGGTGCTTGTAGTCCAGTCCTCCTCCTCCTCCATCTCCATGGACGGTGCTTGTAGTCCAGTCCTCCTCCATCTCCATGGACGGTGCTTGTAGTCCAGTCCTCCTCCTCCTCCATCTCCATGGACGGTGCTTGTAGTCCAGTCCTCCTCCTCCTCCATGGACGGTGCTTGTAGTCCAGTCCTCCTCCTCCTCCATCTCCATGGACGGTGCTTGTAGTCCAGTCCTCCTCCTCCTCCTCCATCTCTATGGATGGTGCTTGTAGACCAGTCCTCCTCCATCTCCATGGATGGTGCTTGTAGTCCAGTCCTCCTCCTCCATCTCCATGGATGGTGCTTGTAGTCCAGTCCTCCTCCTCCATCTCCATGGTTGGTGCTTGTAGTCCAGTCCTCCTCCATCTCCATGGATGCTGCTTGTAGTCCAGTCCTCCTCCTCCTCCTCCATCTCCATGGATGGTGCTTGTAGTCCAGTCCTCTTCCTCCTCCATCTCCATGGATGGTTCTTGTAGTCCAGTCCTCTTCCTCCTCCATCTCCATGGATGGTGCTTGTAGTCCAGTACTCCTCCATCTCCATGGATGGTTCTTGTAGTCCAGTCCTCCTCCATCTCCATGGATGGTGCTTGTAGTCCAGTCCTTCTCCTCCTCCATCTCCATGGATGGTGCTTACAGTCCAGTGCTCTCCTCCTCCCACATGGATGGTGCTTGCAGTCCAGTCCTCCTCCATGGATGGTGCTTGCAGTCCAGTCCTCCTCCATGGATGGTGCTTGCAGTCCAGTCCTCCTCCTCCATGGATGGTGCTTGCAGTCCAGTCCTCCTCCTCCATGGATGGTGCTTGCAGTCCAGTCCTCCTCCTCCATGGATGGTGCTTGCAGTCCAGTCCTCCTCCTCCATGGATGGGGCTTGCAGTCCAGTCCTCCTCCTCCATGGATGGGGCTTGCAGTCCAGTCCTCCTCCTCCATGGATGGTGCTTGCAGTCCAGTCCTCCTCCTCCATGGATGGTGCTTGCAGTCCAGTCCTCCTCCTCCATGGATGGTGCTTGCAGTCCAGTCCTCCTCCTCCATGGATGGTGCTTGCAGTCCAATCCTCCTCCCACATGGATGGTGCTTGCAGTCCAATCCTCCTCCCACATGGATGGTGCTTGCAGTCCAATCCTCCTCCCACATGGATGGTGCTTGCAGTCCAGTCCTCCTCCTCCATGGATGGTGCTTGCAGTCCAATCCTCCTCCCACATGGATGGTGCTTGCAGTCCAGTCCTCCTCCTCCATGGATGGTGCTTGCAGTCCAGTCCTCCTTCTCCATGGATGGTGCTTGTAGTGCAGTGCTCTCCTCCCACATGGATGGTGCTTGCAGTCTAGTCCTCCTCCTCCATGGATGGTGCTTGCAGTCCAATCCTCCTCCCACATGGATGGTGCTTGCAGTCCAATCCTCCTCCCACATGGATGGTGCTTGCAGTCCAGTCCTCCTCCTCCATGGATGGTGCTTGCAGTCCAGTCCTCCTCCTCCATGGATGGTGCTTGCAGTCCAATCCTCCTCCCACATGGATGGTGCTTGCAGTCCAGTCCTCCTCCTCCATGGATGGTGCTTGCAGTCTAGTCCTCCTCCTCCATGGATGGTGCTTGCAGTCCAATCCTCCTCCCACATGGATGGTGCTTGCAGTCCAGTCCTTCTCCTCCATGGATGGTGCTTGCAGTCCAGTCCTCCTCCATGGATGGTGCTTGTAGTGCAGTGCTCTGCTCCCACATGGATGGTGCTTGTAGTCCAGTCCTCCTCCATGGATGGTGCTTGTAGTGCAGTGCTCTGCTCCCACATGGATGGTGCTTGTAGTCCAGTGCTCTTCTTTTCCTCCTCCTCCAGGGTTGCTGTAGTCAGGGAGGAGATGCCACTTCACACCACTCACGGCTTATCATGGGCGATCTGAGTCCTTTTATGATGGAGAGGTGTGAGGTGGAGGGCTGTAATCTCTTCCCTCTCCCCATCCCCCCACAGCACTGACTTGTTTTCATCACGTGAGGGGGGCTCCTCTGACCAATCGGAGCAGAGCCCAGCACCCTTCCCTGCCGAGCCAGGGGGACAGGAGGGGGAAAGTTTTCAGAGCGGAGTTGGAGTTTCGTGTGCTCGGATCTGGGGAGTTGAGTGTCCGAGGTATGCTTGGATCCTGGCCCGAGGGAACGATTGCCTGCTAGAACTGGATTTCTCTGTACCGGGACTCCGGAAGCCGAGGATGGCGCTGCTAATAGCAGTCGCGGTTATGTTGGGCTCCCAGGGCTGTGCGCTCGGCCTGATTGCTGATCGGGGGTCCTGTCCGCCCCCATGTCGGTGTCTGGGAGATCTGCTGGATTGTAGTCGTGGAGATCTACACATGGTACCCGATCGGCTGCCTGGATGGGCTGTGCAACTGTAAGTCTGCCTGCGATCTTCATGGAGGACATCTACGGGGGGTTGTAGTATAAAGGGGGGGCACAGGTCTACTCCATGACAGTGTACCCATCACTTCCATTAGAGGATCGTTCATGGAAGATCGGACACTGTCTGTGGAGGTGACCCATGTGTATACATCTCTGATCCCAAGATCCCTATGTACACATGGGGAGCCCAATGGGAGATGATAGAGGGACAGATGTGCTCAGTCTTCCCTATGCACACATAAATGTCTAGTGAAGGTACAAATGTTGGTTGATCTGCAATTTTCACTTGTTGGTCTTGGAAATACCTATATTGATGTCTAATGAAGGTACATATGCTGGTAACTTGGTCATATTTCAGTGTCAATATTGTCTATTAATTGTATGTATGTTAGAAGTATAGCCATTCCCATTGCCAGTCATGGAAAAATACATGTAAAGGTACAGATGTTGGTAGTATAACCATTTCTCACAGTTGGTCTTGGAAATATACCTATAAATGTTTGACGGTACAAATGTTGGTAGTATAGCCATTCCCATTGTCAGTCTTGGATATATGCATATTGATGGTAGATGTTTGGTAGTATAGCCATACTCATGTCTTGGAAATATGCACATAGATGTCTAATGAAGGTTATGAAATGTTAGTAACTTAGCCATATTCCAGTGTCAGGCCTGTCTAATATTGGTATGTATGTTGGTAGTATAGGCTTGGAAATATGTATACAGATGTCTAATGAAGTTACAGATGTTGGCAGTATAACCATTTCTCACAGTTGGTCTTGGAAATATACCTATAAATGTTTGAAGGTACAAGTGTTTGGTAGTATAACCATTTCCCATTATCAATCTTGGATATATGCATATTGATGTCTAGTGAAGGTAAAAATTTTGGTTAGTCCTTTTCCCATGGTCCATCTGGGAAATACAAAATAAATGTCTAACGAAGGTACATATGTTTGGTAGTATAGCCATACTCAAGTCTTGGAAATATGCACATAAATGTCTAATGAAAATACGTATTTTAGTATCTTAGCCATATTCCAGTGTCAGGCCTGTCTAATATTGGTATGTATGTTGGTGGCCCTCCTAACCCACTTGTATTGTTGCTGTATTGTCTCCCGTTATATTGTAAAGCGCTGAGCAAACTGTTGGCGCTATATAAATCCTGTATTATAATAATAATAATAATAATAATAGTATAGACTTGGAAATATGTATACAGAAGTCTAAGATACAGATGTGGATAGTATAACCATTTTCCATGGTTGGTGTTCAAAATCTACATATAGATGTCTAATGAAGGCACAACTGTTGGTGGTATAACCATTTCCCTTTTTTAGTCTTGGAAATACACATAGAGATGTCTACTGAAGGTATACATGTGGAGAGTATAACCATTTCCATTGTCAGGCTTGGAAATGTACATATTGCTGTTTCTGAGTATACATTTTTGGTAGTATAACTATTTCCCTTGTCATTCTTGGGCATTGTAAAGTGTATGAAGTATCATTGGATAATGACCTAGAAGTAAAAGACTGTAGCTTTCTAGCATTAGTGACCCTGATGTTGTTCTGATTTGTCTTCCCTTTATTTTCTTAGTTGCAGGTCTAATGGAGTTTCCAAATAGCTTCAGGCCCTCTTCCTATGGCCATTGTGTACATTTTGTAGTCATTAAATACCTGGCCATACTGTGTAACAATGGCTGATTTCAAATGTGCAATTACCATCAAAGCTCTGTGTATAACAAACCTGTATTGTGTGAAGGGCAGTCATGTGCAGAACCCCATGCACCTCAATCAAATGGAAGTTCCCACCCACTAAGAATCACTGAAGAGTGCTTTATTCTGTATTGCATATTGTGCTTTCTTACCTAATTCCAATAAATACAGGGTCTTTTTTTTTTTAAGAGTGCAAGGTTCCTTTAGATTTTTTTCTCCCTATTGTTTAGTGGTTGTAAAATAAAGCAAGTTGTCTTTTGAGAAAGTAGATTGATATTTTTGTATGTCATAATTGTACTAGCTTGTAATGTTTATTTTATGGCCTTTCTCACTCAAGACCAATCTGCTCATTTTATTACATACTGGTGGCATTTAACAGTTTAAGTGACCCATAACTGTACTGTCTTTATTATGTGTCTTTCAACCCTGTGCCTCTCTATACTTCTTAGTACATACTGGTGGCATTCAAGAGTTTTGTTTTAGATCAGGGGTCTCCATACTATGGCCCTCCAGCTGTTACAGTACTACAAGTCCCATCATGCCTTTGGGAGTCTTACCTGTTGCTGTCAGAGTCTTGTTTGGACTCATGGGGCTTACAGTTCCTCAACACCTGGAGGGCCATAGTTTGGAGACCCCTGATCTAAAACAACGCTCTTGAATGTACTAAGAAGTAAAGGGAAGCACAGGGCTGAAAGCCACATAATAAACACAAGACATTACAGTTGTAGGTCACCTAAACTCTTGAATGCCACCAGTATGTGTTTTAGAAGATCCATAACTACTGTTGTGTGGGTTTTTTTTTAGTGTTTTACTATTGATTTTGTCACTTTTGGACCTATCTGCACTTTTTATCACATACTGGTGGCATTCAAGAGTTTTAGGTGACCCATAACTGTATTATCGTGTGTTTATTATGTGTTTGTTCCACTCAGGATCTATCTGCTCTTTTTATCACATACTGGTGGTAATCCAAGAGTTTGATTTAATCACAAAGAGCCCATGAAAAAGCTAGATATGTGGTTTAATGCTGGTTTAGTCCATACGAAAGAAGTAAGACTTTCCATAAGCTGATATTATCCAGTCTGTGTGTGTATGTGTTAATGTTTGAGTGGATTTATTTTTCATTAGCTCCTTCAAAAACTCTGGTACCCCCTGACAGTCTTTTGACTTTTTTGGTGTTTTTTTTTAATTGTATCACAGCTCCTCGCTGAGAGCTTGTAAGTCTTAACGCAGTTTTTCGAGCAGCTAAAAAGGGGGGAAAAAAAATGTGCACAGACTCAACCCAGCAATATAGCAATTTGTCAACCAAATTCTTACCACACCTTGGTAGTGTAACCCAAAACCTTCAGCTGGAGAGCATTTTGTTCTGTGCTGCACAGATCTACAGCTGTGTAATTAGTCTCCTGTCACAAAATTACATTACCCTAAGCTTCGGGTTTCCATTTTCTAATTTGTAACCTTTGCTGTTTTTGTACTTTTTTGTTTTTTTGTATCCCCAGTGCAAGCAATGTTTGTGCCTGAACATTTTATTTATTTATTTTTTTCTTAATTTCTAAGAAGTCAAAGTATACATTGTTTGTTTCTTTACTAATACAAACAAAAAGTTTTACTTTGTTTTTATTAGACATTTTATTGTTGCCGAAACAAACAAAAAAGTTCACAAGGAGGAGGTCTTTTGACTTTTTTGGTGTTTCCATCCTTTTTAATTACAGGAGGCCACTTTTGTGGAGTAAAATACACAATTGTTGTGGTTTTGGATTTATGGAGGAAGTATTTTGGATTTTCTATATACAAACTCTATGTAGATGGTGCAGAGCTGGCAACAGTTTGATTTGATCTTTTCACTGCCTTGATGAAAAGTGTAATTTTGATACATTGTGTTAAAAATGTTACACTGGTATACCTCCTTGGTGTGGCTTATGTTATGTTGATTGGATGTAAAGGACATAATACATTGTAGTCTGGAGGTTTTGTTACTTGTTGCATACTGTAATGATGCATTTAGCTGATGGCATTCATGTGTGATATGTTAATTTTGAATGTAGGGAATGCAATTTACACACATTCACCCCTGCTGTGTGCCACACAAGTGACTTTACAGAAGTGTCCAGGAAGGAGGAGGAGGCATAACCCCTAGGGAGAATTCAATTGTAAAGAGGCATAGTCACACTACAGTACTTTCAGTTCTATTAGGAGTGATACATGTTACAGCTGTGCAAACTTTTACATACTGAGGTATAAGGGCAGAAAGTTCTAGTTTTAGTTTTTATATGTTCTCTACTTTTTATCATGATTTAAACCTCCTTTCTAGAGCAGGTATCACTTTGAGGTCTATCTAGTTCACGCCACAATCCCCTCATTTAATGTGTTTCCCACATGTGCATTGTAATGTGTGTTTTTTTTTTTTTTTTTTTTTTTTTTTTCTTTCTTGGAGAATGCAAGGGTTTCTTTCTAAGTGACTTCTTGCTTTTCCATTGTTGTGTGTGTGTGTGGGTGTATAAAGCTGGCCATACACCAGTAGACATTTGTTTAAAACATCTTTTAGGCTCCATGCACACTAGTTTTTTTTTTAAAACTAGCCTCTGTTCTCAGCCGCATAAGAGCTGGGGAAGGAGAAACAGCATCACAATGATCTTCCCAGCAAAGGCTGGGGATGGGGGTGGGCAGAAGTCTGATCATTGGAGGAGAGTGGGCTGAGTTCTTGCCATAGCCACAGAACTGACCGTGCTATGCTCTCATGCCTAGTGTGCTCAGTTTTTAATAGAAATGCAGAGGGACTGGCAGGAACACCAGGGGTTTCACACAAAGGAAGCAATACAAAGAGAACCAGATATTTTTTTCATACAGGTACCTGGTACAGCAGGCACATATCAGAAATATGAAATGTTGGGTTTACATATTCCTTAAGAATGCTCATTCAATTTTCTAATCTTTAAAGGATAGGTTAACCCTTGGAACAGGTTCTAGCATCTGCACCCTTACCTTGATCCATCCCCCCTCCCTTTATGAAAGTGGGCAGGGTACCTCCTCGCACTCGCTGGCACATTTTGAAAACGGTGTGGGGCTTCGGTCACATGGCTGCGTTTTTCATTCACAGAGTTCTGTGAATGAATATCTTGCAAGTACCATCAGCTACTGCGGCTGACGGAGGGCACTGGGGAGTGATCTCGTAGTTCATTGATCTTCCTGCTCTCAAGTAATTTACAGCGTGTACGAGGTAGATCCTATCCTGAGGGTCAGCAGGACCCTGACATTGCACAGGCAATCTGCTCCT